CTTTCGCCACCGAAGATCTACTGGAGATCTACTTGCCTACGTCACCCATTTATGGCAATCTTCAATAGAAAAACACGGGGAATCTCTAGCTGTCGCGTTGGACATATCGAAAGCATTCGACCGTGTTTGGCACGAAGGACTCCTCCACAAACTACCATCATACGGCTTACCACCTCAGCTATGCCATCTCTTATCGAGTTTTCTTTCAGGCAGATCGCTTCACGTGGTGGTGGATGGTGTATCGTCTGATACCATTGGCATCAATTCCGGCGTTCCACAAGGATCAATTTTGGCACCAACATTATTCCTGCTTCATATCAATGATCTGTTGGGAGTAACAACTTGCCCCATCCACAGCTTTGCAGATGATAGTACCCTCCATACTGCGTTCTCTTCCAGAATTCCCATTTCTTCCCAGGAAACTAAGAACTCACGGCGCAGGCAGGTCAATGCTGTCAATGAAGATCTTGCTGAAATCACAGCCTGGGGAACAAACAACCTAGTTGAATTCAACGCCACCAAAACTCAAGCCTGCATTTTCTCTAGAAAGGCGGAACTCAGTATGCCCGATATTGTAATGTCTGGCTCCACCAAGCCCACCATATCTATGCTCGGTATTTCCATCAGCAACACTCTTTCATGGGATAATCATGTCAGATCCATCGCGAAAGCTGCTTCACAAAAACTTGGATTCTTGTTCCATGCGAAAAGCTACTTCACACCTCAACAGCTTCTCATGATCTACAAAGCGCAGATACGGCCTGTTCTAGAATACTGTTCCCACATATGGGGTTCAGCACCAAAACATACGCTGATGCTCTTAGATTCCATCCAGAGAAGAGCCATTCGCCTGGTGGGTGACGCCACACTCACTCACTCTTTGACATCATTGGAACACCGTAGAAGGGTCGGCGACCTTTCACTTTTCTATCGATACTTCCACGGGAAATGTTCTTCGGAAATCTCTGCTATCATCCCTCCACTAGCAATACCAATCAGACGAACAAGACAAGCCCAGTCAGCACATCCTTTCGTTGTCAACCTCGAAAGATGTCGAACAGCACTTTATCAAGACTCCTTCATCCATAGAACGGCTAGGCTGTGGAATTCATTGCCTGTGGAAGTATTCCCAACAACATATAATCTTCAAAAGTTCAAAAAAAATTCCAATACCTACCTCTTGTCCCTATCCTTTCTAGGAATGCACGATGTTCTTTGAACACTATAGGGATTCCCTTTCGTGCGCTCCAAGCGATAAAAAAAAAAGAAAAAACATCAATATCACCTACTAGTAAACTTACGAAGGTCGGTAACTCGAACTTATAGTGTATATAACATTCGCTAGAAGTGTCAAAAGAGCCTCAGCACTGGCAAAATTACTTCAACAATATGTGATTATAGTGAGAATAACGTGCATGTCTCATCAATTTCCACTTATGATTTCTTTCTATGGACTTGTTTCTCGAAAAGCACAATAGTATATTTTTGCAACGTCTAATCGGTAACTTGTTCAAATAAGTTATCAATTTACTATAATGGCTTATAGTATCACATCAATAATATCCACTATTAACGATTCATCAAACCACAATTTAACAAATTTTTATGCTTGAAATTACATTGATACGGTGATTCATAAGAAAATGTCTTGTCGGTAACAAAATGACATCAAATTGTCCGTTACCGACAAAAATAACATGTTACTGATAAAAGAATTGTTATATTTTTGAGCTTATGACGGTATCAATAAGTCAAACAATGATTATATTATCATTCTAAAGAAGTGAAAATAATAAATAATAGCATTAGTATACTGCTTTCATTTATTAATTCTATTCTATGTCGGTAACGTATCTGATGTCGGTAATATACCTTAGAAAATTCTTCTGAAATTTCTGGTAGTTAATATATTAGAATCAAGATAAGTCTTCAGTATATAATAAAAATATTGTTTCTCCTAAACATCGACGAAACTTTCAATCAAGTGTTATTTTGTGTTTTTTTTTTCATATAACGACCATTCGTGGACAAAAACGCCCAAATAACCAAATGAACGGTTGCAAGCATATTTTGTAGTTGTGTTCTATGTAATGACTCGGAAAAACATGAATCTACATTGTACAGTGGATATTATAAACGTTACCGACCAGGCATTTATTGAGGCGTTAGTCCCTAAAACTCTCTCAAGAAGAGAAAAGCTAAGGTTTTGATCGCAAACAATACCTATTAACTGAAATATTCCCAGATTGTGCCGTTTGATTTTGGCCCATTTTTTTTTCACCCATTAATACTTTTTTCAATGATAAAAACCCCATTTCAAAAGCAGTAGCTCTTTGTTGACATGATTAACCAATGAGCACCAAAAGTGACATATTATTTCTCATCAACCAATTAGAACAGGAATTCACTTCCATCGTAGGGGTGTTCTATAAACTGAGATGAATTCTTGAACTCTGCCAACCCCAAACAACCCCAAACAACCCATCCATCCTCACTAAATCTACCGGAACAAACTAGGCTCTGATTTTGTTAAATGTTTATGTGATAATTTTCCCTAAATTGACATTGAAACGGTGATTGATTTTTTTCTATAAAAATCGGTTTCCTAAGTGCTGTAATCAGAAACCAAATGAGTTGAGAACTCACATCACTTAGTACTAGCAGAAAGGTAACAAGCATACCTGCTTCTTCATTGAAATTTTACTTGAGTTTCGAAGAGGGAAATTTTGAGAGCAGTGACATTTGATTTGTCCTAACAACGTGTATATTGATATAATTGTCTAATATTTTTATTTATAGAGTCGAAGAGAGAAAATGCCAAAAATCTAGAGAAGTGAAGACAAGCAAGTTTTTTTCTCTTCAAAAGAGTTGCTGAACTTGCTAAAGTTGATTTTGTTCCTATAGTTGTCTTACTTCATGGCATAATGTAAACAGAGAATGTCATAGAAAAAAAGCAAGTTTAGCGGGTAGAGCAAGCACAAACGAACAGGCCCTACGATAGGAAGGTATTCGCGACAGAAAATCAGCGTACGCCATCTATCGGAGTTCTTGAAAGCTGTCAAAGCGGACTGTTTACTTTGTTTTTATTGGTTCACCTTTGATTTTTGTTTGTGATTATTGGTCATATCATCAAAACAAACAGCTCAGAAGTGTTCAAGATGTTGCTGTCAGGTGGAGCGACGTGTTATTTTCTATCGCGAATAGGTTGTCGAAATGTTATGGCCTTTTAAGCCAGTTCCACACCATTTTTTATATCAAGCTAAACATATCACTACTTTTTTATTTTTCACTTGTCCATTACTGCTTTATAATACCTTGGCAACGGTTGCTATCAAAAGACCGATAACGCCCGGGTCTTTATGGAGGGCATTATGAATCATAACGCCCGCTAATTGTTTTTTCTGTAGTTCATAAAATTACTTGCGCCAGTTCTTGGAAGTACAATACTCCTTGTCATATATTCAAGAATCTGGATCTCTCCGACAATAAATCAATCGAAGCCTTGTCTGCGTTTTTTATGATATTCTTGGGTACATTTGTATTCATTTTCATCATTTCTATAAGACTACACAAAGAAAGCAGCAATGACTGCTATTGAGTTGAGAGCTTTGAGAAAAAAAAAGGTTTGTGATGGTTCTTCAAAAACAGGCTCACTGCAAGTTGCAGTCATCAATATATATTTACAACACAATAATTAATTATGAATTATGAATGAATTTTTATATGATACAACTTACAGAAATAATGTTCAATAATATCATTGCCCTGTTGCTACTTTTGATGAAGAGTAATTTTTTGGTAACAGTAGACTGATATTTGATTGTACATAATAACTACATAATATGTTTAACAGTGTCATTCATAATGTCGGCATCATATGGGAAAAACTTTTAATAATAATATATTTCGAAATTCGACTTATGCAGCTTGGCTTCAAAAAAATTTGAAAAATGAACTACTCGGTCGGGGTCACGTGACATTTGCTACTCGTCACAAGTTATATTTTTCAAATTAAACGCTGAAAATAGGCTTATTGGTTTGAATTTCAAGAAAGTTCACCATGAAAAAATGATTCTATTCCAATTTTACACATGTGCCTCGAATTCGAACGTTCTAAAACAACTTTAAGTTTTCGATATTTTTTCAATTTCCACGAAATATCTGTGATATGGAGAAAATTAACACGGACTAAACTATTTCATTCTGATAGCTTCATGATGCTACTAACTTTCAATCACTAATAATTATCGACAGAAAATAATAATCCCTGCTTCAAATTTGTGTTATGTTTGATGCAGAGTTGATGTATCGTCTACCATTCAGGAGCGAAATTTATTTTAATTGATTTTTTTCAGTACTTGCACGATGCCAGAGTCATCTATCAAAATATCTTCAATACTTCTTTACATAATTATGTAACCAAACTGTAGGACAGTTTTGTTAAAAGTTACAATTATTAGATGAAATCAAAAAATATCAAGAACTAAATAGAACGTTCAAATTCGAGACGAACGTGTAAAATTGGAATGGAAAACACTTTTCTTGGTTTACCTTTTCTGAACTTCGAACAAATAAGCATATATTCACCGATTATTTTGAAAAATGTAACTTTTCAGATTCTAGCGAAAATGACGTGACTCCGACCGAGTAGGCCGATTAGGTTTGAAGCAAAACTGAACGCCCAAGTCGAATTTCGGAATAAATCATTATTGACACTTAATAACAATATAACATGCTTAATTATTTATTAGTATTTTTGATACCCTCCCTATATAAAATAATAATTTCAACACTATTCATTTGTAAGATACAAAAGTATCAACGATAAAAAAAATATCGTTGTGATCTGCATTCAGAAAAAATACAACTGTCTTTCTCATCATTTTGTTTTCTCTTTATGCTTCCACTAACACCAGGAATGTAAATCTTATGAGGAGGTAAATAAACATTTCACTGCTTCTATTAATCCATCCGAACGTTTCAAATCGTGATTTTTGTAGGAACTGCGGTGTCGAGAAGAGGACCTGAACAGGGCCCAGCTTCAGCAGCGTAGGCACGAAGAACAGCTGCGACAGAAAGAACAATGGCTGGACGCCAGAGAGATGGAACTTATCGAACGGGAACTGCACCTGATGATTAAACAGCAGACGCCGACGCCTATCAAAAGGAAAGGTACGTTCTTATGGTAGTGATTTTATTCCAATAGTATTTTTTAGATATGGAACAATTCAAGTTTGTAAAATACGTATATTTTGAAATACAGTTCTCAACTCACTAAATGGACCACAGATAATTTTACTCTTTTTCGACGACCTGTATTTTTTTATTATTGAATGATTTTTATGCAACTTTCAATATTAGTTGTGCTATTTCATCAGCTTCAAAGAGAGCTGGAACACTGAAAAAGTCTTGCATTTCTTCGAGCTGAATATAGGGCAAAACTGTTTCCATGCTGAAGAATTCACTCATTTCCTATCTTCCCAATAGAGCCCGTTTCGAATAGCTTTAGAAAGTAAAACTTATAGAACTTTACTTTCTACTAAAGCTATTCGAAATGGGCTCTATTGGCGAGATATGTTTGATGAGCTAAACATGTTCTTTAGTTCCGGTAGCATTGCAAATGTAGACTATAGTCGAAGATTACTGATGAGATAGTTCACTTCCAAAGTTCCAAACGGGTTCGGTCGGTTGACAGGTAATGAGATGACGATTTCAAAGGCCCCGGCATTCGTTAATCGGCAGAATTCAGCAGTCGGCAAAGACGTAGCGAGGTTTCTTGAGTCGAAAAATGAACTTACAGTTCATCTTTTGTAGTCTATGTCATAGTGTAATGCTTTCACTTTACACCCTGTCTAAGTCTCAATCTGCGTACTTTTTCACAGTGTTCTAGCTCTCTTTGGAGTCAATAAAAAAACGCATCTGATATTGAAAGCATAAAAATCAACCAAATTCATAAAGGAACACGGGTCGTCGAAATAGAGTCAAATTATCAGTGGTCAATTTGGTGTATTGAAAAGTGTAGTTTTCCTACTACCATGAATGAAAACAATAAGTCTGTTCGGTTGTATTGGAAGTAGCTAATGTCACCATGGCAATGATATTTGAGGAAAAAATCTCCGATTCAGATAGTACCTGAAAAAATATGATGACATTGGTCGTAAGAATTGTGTGCTAGAGAGTTGACGAATAGACCCTAGTAAACAAAAACATCAGTATTGTATCACACAGTCAGGCTGCTCTTGAAGGAAGATAAATTTCAAGCTTGTATGGAGCTGTATTGAATCCCTAGAATGCGTGGGTGCAAACAACGGATATACTTTGCTGTGGGTGCCTGGACACCAGGGGGTGGAGGGCAACGAGAAAGCCGACATCCTCACCAAAATGGGCACCGGATCTGTGTTCATAGGACTAGAAATATTCGCGATAGAAAATAAGCGTCCGCCACCTATCGGAGTTTTTGAAAGCTGTCAAAGCGGCATGTTTACTTTGTTTTCATTGGTTCACATTTTTTTTGTTTGTGCTTATTGGTCATATCATCAAAACAAATCGCTCAGAAGTGTTCAAAGTGCTGGAATCAGGTGGGTCGACGTGTTATTCTCTATTGCGAATACTTTGGGATCATCGCAAGTGCGGCCAAAACAACTATCTCGGACTGGGCGGAGGGGAAAAGCCTCACGTACTGGTTTGAATTACCAGGATTAAACCATTCGCAGGCGTTTCTGCCTAAAACAACAAAAAATATAACCTGGCAGATCCTAGAATGGAGCAGGAGTAACCTTCGAATTCTGACAGGACGGCTTACAGGACACTGTCGTCTAAGATACCACCTAGCAAGGATGGGTTGGAACCAACAAGCGGACTGTCAGTTCTGCTGCGTGGAAGGTTCGCCATATTTGACTTTACCAATTTAGAACCTATAGATTTTAGACAAATTTCTCCTAATTCAACCATGATGAACTTTGTAAAAAGATGTGGTTAGTACAGTGAACTGTAACCTATAGAAGTGACCCACAATAGACCCATCTGGGGTCGCAGTGGCAGGAAGTTCGATTCACACCACCTGCCGATTCTTCAACGGGTCCCATCAGATCAATGGAGGCTTACATTTTCACTCTCATTAGTTGGCGCTACTAAACCGTGAGTCCAGTGTCAAAGTCAAAAATTCGAAAATTTTGCTGGATAGCCCTAAAGGCTATGGTCTGTTTTATCGAATATATTCTGAAAAAATGATGTACAATTTTTGAACAACTAGAAAACCTTATTGTTACCGAAAGACATCAATGTGGAAGTCTACGATCAATACTTACATTGAAAGTATCGTCTAAGATACCACCTGGGAAGGACACATATTATGTTCATGCTCTTGCTTAGAGAGACTGAGGTTCGACATATTTGGCTTTACCCATTTTGAACCTATCGATTTCAGACAAATCTCACCTAATACAACCATGGAATTTGTAAAAAGATGTGGATTGTACAGTGAACTGTAACCTCTAGGGGTGAGCCACAATAGACTCATCTGAGGTCGCAGAGGAGGGGCGGTATTCGCCCTACTCACATGAAACCTAACCTTGGTCATAAGAAGCTTCGTTTTCGAATTGAATTAAACAATTGTTTTTTTCTAATTTTGATATGTGATTTGACACTTCAAAACTGACGGACGTTTTGAAATGCTGTGTAAATCAAAATATCACATAACTGGTGATGAAATGTTCAATTCACCACCAGCTATGAAATGAAAATATAGATGGTTGAAGAGAAGAGTGCTTCTTGTGCTGCCTTCTGTGTATCCATTTAGCCATTATCCTCTAATGAAAATATCAAATGAGTCTATTTCGTTAATTTCGTCGCTGATTTGTGACCATATTATTATTTGACGAAAGTCGAATTGCCTATTAAATTTTGTACATATTCGGTAGAACTCGTGTAGAAAAAATATAATTATTATTTTATCAAAATTAGAAAAAATATTGTACATAATACTTTAGGAAACCCTTTTTGTATAACTTCATGTTCGCTCGTCCTGTAAAATCCCATCGTCACACAAAATGGCGCGCTCCCTAACTGTAACGTATCTATTCCTTCATTCACTAGTCCTGCGGACTCATAGTGTTACCAAGAAGTTGGAACTCTTTAGTTTCTTACATAATTACTATCGATACCTCCGAACAACAAACGATCGAAGATCGATATGACAGTAATGCGAGCACTGAAAGTTCTTTTTTCTGTTACGGTGACGCCGGTCAATCAAGTTATTCGCTGTGAATTCGTGCGCTCCATGAGATTAAAAAAGTCCCTACAGTTCTGTAGGCATTCCTGGGAAAATTTTTTACCTGAAAATGTGCTGTGAAACATGAACAATTTCAGGAACAGATTGCAGTAATGAATCAAAGAAGTCGGTTATCATCTTAAGGATGTGTTCTTTGGGAACACAATGAGTTATTATAACAAAATTCCGAGAGTATAGTGACAAATTATTAAAATATATTATTTTATATGTTTCTTCACAGTGGCCTACTGTTTTTCAATTTCGGTGAGTCTATCAGCGTTAGTGTTTTCAACAATGTAACCGTGGATGGCAAAGTAAAGTTTAACAGTTTGACAAAAAATAATTGTAGCTGTAGACGTCAGAAAGAGTCGCTTTGGTTATAATGGTTTTTTTATGTTTATCATATATGCTTCTTATGTTTGTGACATTGTGAAATTCCACTATGTTCTGAATATATTTTTATAAATATGTCTCTATCCGTTGACTCAATTGTGAACAATAAAGCGACAGAATTATCTGGAATATTCAGAACATCATGATGTTAAAAATTGTATGTTCGATTTGCACTAGGCTCTATAACTCCTAGAGACTTTTTCGTCGAGTCTAAATCCTTTGTATCATGAATAATGTATTCTTCTTTTTTTTTCAGGGAAATTCAAACGGTCTAGGTTGAAAATATTGAAAAAAGAACCTGGTACGAGTATAAGTTTCCCTTCCGATTTTAGGCATACGATAACTGTACAGCACACTACTGATCACAAAGTAATAGGGGGTATCATATCCCCAAATAGTCCTCCAGGTTCACCCGCAATCCCGAGGCTTAGAGCAATTGCACGTAAGTGAATGTTTTATATTTACCGTTTCGTCATTTTTCGTGAGCTACAAGCATTTCAGCTAAACGGCATCAGTCATTTTGTGGCTCATGAAAAATAATTTGTACTCTTACAAAAACTAAATATCTACAGGGTATCCCTTATTTCATCTTCACACCACCAAATTTATTTAATCTTTTTTTATGTAAGAGAATATTTTCCACAATCATCAAAACTCAATGTCTCAAATATTGCGTCTGCTATTGAATTTGACACCTGACTCGGTAGAAGTATGGTATCGATATGTAAAATCCACAGATTCTATATGTTAACCGGGAAACAGAGGGAAATAGTGACATCACTCCATGATAAAACTGAATAGCTTCATGTGTCCAAGAGCCTTGTAAGTCTGACTTGGAGAATAATGCAAAAAAGCCAGATATAATTTATAACATTCCAGAAAATAATGGTAGAATGAATTAGGAATCAATGGGAATTTCATATAATACATTCCATTTTGATGACAAACTGTTTAGTATCAGTGATTTTGTTCGAAGCTATCATCATTAATTATGTTATGTCTTCAATAATAATCTCATTTGGCATTCTTGATAAAATTCAAGAAGATTAGTCAGTTCAATAAAGGTGAAACTTGGACTTCATCATACTCTTATCCCATAATGATATTCTGTATTTAGTGCCGAATTTCTGATTATTCACACATTTGAATCAAACTGTAATCATTTTTGCCTTCCTGCTCAATTTGAAAAATCATATATTCAAACTAGGAAGGGGCCGCCGTTTACTTTTCTCAGTATGGTTCATGGCAACTGTCAAATTAAGGTTAGAAGGCTTTTTGGAATGATGTGTTGGAAATTTTGCTGTTTAATGACTGCTCTTGAGTTCATAACATTCTATATCTACATTATACACTATGAAGAACTTCTGATTTAGGATACTGGGCAAAAAGGATAGCTAAAGAGTTTGAAGACATTGCAGGGGCGCCTTCTCTTCTCTTACTTGAATGCGCTGAATAGTCAGTTAAGTTACGTTTCAGTACATAGCATTACAATTTTTGATAAATGTAAAACAGTGGTATAGAAATGAAATGCGGGACTCATTGTATTTTCGAGCATATCTGGCATGTTTTTGATGAGCATGTGATTTGTCACAGTTGTGTGTTTTTTTAGAATCTTGCTTACATTAGGAATTGTTCATGTTTTTATCAACCTTGATTTGTTTTGAGTATTGTGGCTTTTTATTCACAGTTTTTTTAGAAAAGACCATACTCACTTATTTTCAACGTGACCTGCCAAACCCTGGGTTCCCAAAATGAAAATTCGTTTTTTTTTTTAAATAATATTTTTTCAACTTTTCAGTGTACTATGATGTGGTTTCTTTTTCGAGGGAACGTTTTATCAGATTGTCCCATAAGTCATAAATCAAAAGAAGTGGGATGGTAGGACGTGTCATTTTAAATCAAACTGACTGCTTGATTATTCCAATTTTTGATGGTACAAAAGTTATTCAATTTTCCTGAAAAACGCGACCATTTTGCAAAATCAATGACAGAAGGCTGCTTTGAATAACCCTATAGGTTATACAATTTCAGAATCTGTATTAAATGGGCAACTTTTTCTAATGCTGGTCATCTTTGTCGGATAATATTTAAATCTGCAAGTGGCATTAAAAAAACAACTGAATTATTTCATTCAACAAAACTAGGAAAAAATTATTGGGACAGGTGCATTCATGTGGATAAAATCAGTGAAAGACAGATTTGATTCTTTAGTAAGAACTACATGATTTTAGGGAGAAATGAAGAATATTGAATAACTTTTGAACCATCAATAAATAGGAAACTACATATACTGTTGGTTTGATTGAAAATGACCCCCCTACCACCTCACTCCTTTTGATCCATGCCTTATGAGACACCCTGTATTTCTAGGGAAGCTACTTAGTAAGTTATCAAGTACTGCCAGTGTGTTAGGTCTAACTTTCTTCTTGATAGTCTTCATCTTGAACTGTACAGTGCAATGGTGTTATTTATGCTTATTTCAAGAGTTCTACCACCATCCATACACAACAAGATAATCTTCAGGATGTTGAGACTTTTCGTGGTCATGGTTACACACAAAATAGAAACAAAACAGTTCAGTTCAATTTGAAAGTAGGTTTCTATGTAAATGGCTTATTCTGCAAAACATACACATATCAGATTTTTAACTGGATGAGTTTGTGGCTTAGATCGCGAAATTTACTTTTTGTGTTTCAAAACAAAGGCAATTATATCTGAGTTGGACCTTCAAGGCCAGGCTTTCATTAAATATAGTCGATGCTTTCACGATTGGTTATCCGATTCTCACGAGTTTTGTAGATATCTTCATTCATGTCCATTAGAGCATCTGCTCAACAGATGTCAGTATAGTACACAAAATTAATTTGAATATAAATTGGCGCTAAGGATTATCACATAATTATTTTGATCTACAGCTATTGCATTTTCAACATTTAGTTCCAACTTTATGATTGAACTCATGCCCCAATGTTTTTGAATCTTCTTAATAGTCCCAGAAAAGTTGATAAAATATCAAACTTAGGTCAGGACAAACATCATCGTGAAATTTCACCATAGATATATGAAAAGATGGGAGACATAACATTTTATTCATAAAACTATATTTGTTTACAATCATAAATACTTTCAAAGTTCCAAATAAGTTAGAAAGAGATGACTTTAAAAAATGGCAAGGCTGTAAACTGAGCGTCAATGTTCTTACTATTCTTCACCAGTTGCGTAGGTTGAGCGAGGGGCAAGACTATTTTACTACAATGACAATACTATTATACCTATTTAAAAATTTTTGGGACTAATCTTTCAATTTTAATGCCAAGTACTCATAGTGCTGAGGTACTTACCTAATTTTGATCCATCATTCAGCAATGATTGAGTTGAATAACCTTCGATAACTACACCACTGCCCAAGAATCGTATAACCTTGGGGTTTGTATGGTGCACTTTGTCATAATCCACGCACTGGCGAACCATAATAGACTTTCAATGATTGTCTTTGTCAATTAAGACACAAAAATTCCTAGAATGGTCGCAAACACAACACAACAACCCTGGCACATCGGATTTTGACATACGTGAATGAGAAAAATATGCGTAACTCGTAGTAACTACGCGAATATAGCGTTGCCACACTTGTTTCCATAATACATTATAATTTTATGTACCTAATGATGAAATTAGGAAAATTTAAATCATTTCAATAGCATAATTCATATATTTCAATGAAGAATCAAAACATACAGAATATTTTTCAAATAAATGTATGATTAATGCTTCCCTCGTTTTCAAACACAGTCGGTATATCTGATGAAAAATGATGTTGGATCGGGACAAAATGTAAACAATTTCGTCTCCCCTCTTTTTGTATGCCTAAGGATTTCACTCAATTCTATCAGTAGAAAGTAATTTCATGATACTATTTAATAGGTTTAAATCATTTCGTTTTGTGTTTTTTTTTATCGCTTGGAGCGCACGAAAGGGAATCCCTATAATGTTCAAAGAACATCGTGCGTTCCTAGGGAGGATAGGGACAGGAGGTAGGTATTGGAATTTTTTTTGAACTTTTGGAGATTATATGTTGTTGGGAATACTTCCACAGATGAAGACTAAGAAAGTTACCTCAGCTATTGCCTCATTCATTCTCAAAGACACACCCCTGATTTATAGATTCAATAACGTAACGCAAGTACTTCCGTTACACGATAGAAGATGAAACATAGGATTTTTCCAGTACTGTTTATAGAATGTCGTTCCGCAAAACATTGATCGTGGCTGCAACGCGAGAGATGCCCATTTCCATCTTTCTATGTTGGCGTTGTGGAACGGTGACAGAAAGTCATGGAAGGTAGGTTGGGTTCATTGTTTGATTTACAGTAGCAATCGATTAATGATATTATATAATTGTTCTACATACAATATTGATTGGGGAGTCCTGAAAAGCCTCATAGAGAATATTATTCCATTTTATATAAGTCAAATGAGACTAGTAGGAATAAGGAGATTGCACGGATATTGTACGGAATATAAATATATCTGGTAACTTCAATTTATTCATTTATTGCTGATTAAACTGTTCTTCTGGGGAGATCATGTAAGGTATCATAAGATAAGATACCTATTTGTTGCTTTTTGATGTATGGTAGGTTTTGAAGCTGGATCAGATGCTTGCAAAGATTCAAATCCATACGGGTATATTTGAAAAATTGTTCTCATAGGCATGAAGGTATATAGCTCTTGGAAGACATTTTTAGATTTTCAATAGATACCTATTCAGATGTCGTATCTTGAACTGAAGCCATTTCCGATTTACAAAAGCTCTTATTGCTTGTATTATGGCCGCACATAACAGAACTCTATTATATTCATAATCCAGGTCATATCACCCATTGGTAGAATTGAAATACCTTGAACTTGAACAGATTGATCCTCGTGCTTTGAGACAATGCTTATTCCAAAAATGATACTTGATAGTCCGAACAAAAATAATAACACATATTGATATAACAATTATGGCGAGTGTCAAATTCAGGAAAGTCTATAAAAGACAATTTTATTTCATCGTTTCACGATACTGATTGCGGAACGTTTAGAGTTGCATTATGGCGCTTTCACATGACAGCTTTCGCTTATCGCGTGAAGCTTAAATAAACCGAGCGCTCTGTTCACATGAACTTGTGGCAAAAGCGACAGTTGAGGACACAAATTTCAAATTTGAAAATCAAAATATTCAACAAGAAAATGAAATTATCATTGTTCATGGAATTTCGGGAATATATCCGTTTCGAATAACGTTTTTCACATATTTAAGTAACTTCATCATCTACAATAATTGAACTTCAATCAATAAATAACTGATTGAAATTACATGAAGAAGCAATATATCAGAATATAGGAAACAATACTAACCATAGTAATCTTCATTGGTGACCGTGAATTCTACAGAAATGTTATTAACTATAACTCGAGATTGTACCAGCATTTCACTATTTGCTATATTTAACTATGACATTTCTCACCACAGTTGACAACAACAACAACAACAACTAACCTGAAAAGGTAAAACCCTGGAAATCGAAGATTCTTTTAGACAAAAAGTCGGATCGTAATCGACTTTTTGGTATATGACCTTGATACGCGCTTTCACACAAATCGGCCAATCGAATCACAAAACGCCATAAGCCAAGAGGCGAAAAGCCAGCATGTGAACGCGCCATTATGGTGTCTATAAATCAGGGGACACATACACACACACATATCGCACACGAGGACGATTCGGCTTCGCCCTCCCGAGTGCCGATCGACACGAACATTTGGGCTCGTTTCAGTGCCCGCCGACGGAGTGAAGGGCAAAACGTGGGGCCCGAGCACGTGCCATCAGCGCGAGCGAGGTCAGATAATCCGACCGGCGGCCAATCGCAGCGCCATCTGGTCGAAGAGCGCCCCCAACTTGGACAAAACGAGGACGAGGCCCGCCCACGAAATAGGTAACTCATCCCCTACCGATACTAGCAAAAGTTCTGGGTTACAGTTGATCCTAAACAAAGTAACGGCTTTGAGTCCGCTCGCCGAATGGCGCAGATTGGGCGGCGCGCCGCGTAACAATAGTCTGCCCACCAATAACGCTTCGCTAATCGGTAGATCGGGCCTGGGGCGCAACCATCGGCTGAGTAGGTCGATAGGGAATATTTCCGAGTCGCATTACGACACCGTGTTCAGCACTAATAGCTTTGTCATTGCTAGGGGTACGAGCGGTTCGGTCGATTTCGGGAACGATTACGTCGGTACCGAGAAAGACGACGAAGAGTACTTGTTGAATAGCAAAAAGACGATCGTCAAGTAGTGTAATTTTGATGATGAAATACTCTCTGATTGCTTAGAAACGAGTAGACAATCGATTTAGAGACTGATTTTTTTTATGAATCGATGTGATATTTTATTTCAACGGATCATTTAGCTACCGTCGTTTTGAAGTTTCAAGTTTTGGTTCTCTTATCCATTCTCAAATGATTTTACATTTTGTTGGGATGCTTTCCATCCAACAAGGTTTCGATTAAACGAACTTCATTGGGTTGAAACAAGCATTTAGATTATTTAGAAACTAGTCACTAAATTACAATATGCCTTCACTATAAATAGTGATGACTAAGGGAGGTGAAGCCTACAGAGCCAACTGGTGGTGTAAAGTGTTCTGTTTCTTGACATAATTTTAGTGATATGAATTTGCAGCTAAAAATAACTCAACATTTTTAGCTATCTGAATATCAGCTAGAGATAACAGTTTTATATTCGACGCGTTTTTCAATATTCAGATCACCAAACATTCTGTACTGAAGGGATATTGCTGATTGCTGACCGTCAAGTAATATCATCATTACTAAGTTAGAGTGCTCATTATTACAAAAACGTATCGAAAAATATATAGACAAATTTGAAACTTCAAAAGCGGTCTATTGACTATTCCAAATTTGCATTCAAGTAAACATTTGTTATAATAATTATGAGAACTGTTTATGAAATTTTTATACGTCGCATAAGTAATTTTATTAATGCTAGATTTTCCTTAAAAGTCATATGTCAGGAGAGTCTACCCAGCATAATGTGTAAGTCATTCAAAGTCCCCCTTTCCCGATGTTAAGTTCTTTTTTTTTAATTTTAAGCACAGTAGCATGTCTTAGACATTTTCAACTATTGTATTGTTTTTATTTAGCATATTTTAAGTAGTGTTTTTGTAATTATTATTTGTAGTTATTCTAGATTTTTATGCTATTTATGTAAGTATGTAGATTTCCTTGAATCCATTCCAATGTTTCACCAGTGAATTTCAAAATTGATAATAACATTATAACATGATTATCAAACTATTGATCTCTGTAGCAAACATATTTGCTTCTTTCTATGAACAGTGCTTGAAATATTTGGGATGTGTTCGAACATATTTTCTTAATTGGTGATGGTCTACTTTTATTGTAATCTTATTTCAATAAACATTGCTAAAATGTTTTTTAATTGCTGTTATTTTTTTTCACACGCATGTCCTTATTGGGTTCTTGCACAGTTTGTGGTCTAATGATAAGTAATATCAGGATAACCTAGTGCTTTTACTTGCCTTTGAATAATTTGCACATTAACAATCGTTTCTGTGAATAAGCCTATTTAGAATATTCCTTCTTGTGTATGTACAGGGTAATACAAACTTACCGCCCTTGGCTTATAACAGAAAAGGAAAACTGCAAATGCAAATTTGGCAGGGGGGATTTGTAAGGTATATTTTTTCATATTCAAGCATTTTTCAACCTCTTTCTCACAAAGTGACTTTTTTTTTTCAGAACATATTCATTGAAACCATTTTCATCCAAAAAGTTATATTCTATATTTATTTGGTTAAAAGCTATGGGACTCTGAAGTTGGTATTTTTAAATAAATCTCATCGGACCCCGCCTTAATATTAATTTTAATATCAATACAAATGTCTTCCAATTCATATGTTTTCAAAACAATTCGTCTCCCGGCCGACTTGATTTCTATTACAATGGGGTCAGTTGAGATTTATTTGAAAATGCCAACTTCACAGTCACAGCTATCAACCAAATGAAGAGATAGAATATGTTCTTTCAGAATATGTGAAGAAACTGTTAGATTACTCTGGAAAAAATATGTTTACTGATGCCATTTCCAGCATTTTGACGAAGGTTGAATAATGTTTATAAACTAAAAAATATACCTTACACACAGCTATTCACATTGCCTCTGCCAAACTTCTAGTTCTCCTTTTCCGGTTATGAGCCAAGGGCAGGAAGTTTGAATTACCCTGTACATCGAAAAGCATCTAAAAAAATAACTGTCTTCCAATACGTAAATAATATTTTTAAGCCAAGAAATCTCGCATTATTTTTTGTGGGCGCTATTATTTTGAGAACACCCATATTATATTGAAACTAACATTTATTTTAATTCATCATCTAATAGACGAATTTTGAATATTATACTACCATTGGATAATAAAATTAGCAAACAATTGAGACTCAACTAAATATTTAAATTGATTTTTTTGTTCATAACCACAAAGGGGAAATGAAATACCAAATACTAAAAAAACGGAAAGAAAAATCAATTAATACTAATGTATGCAAATTCCTTCATTCAAGTTAGTTAGTTATAGCTTTCTCTTCAACCGTCAAGAAAAATCGAAATTTCGTGTCTCAAGTCAAAATTTGCCATTGTCGGATAAACATTGATTTGATGACAACCTAACATAACACACATTTAAGACGGGAATGAAAATTCAGTATCTATAGTATCTTTATAATCCCTATTTAAACCAGTTATTTATTGACTGGATTTACTGCTTCAAAATCTTTTCTGCCTATTGAAATGAAGTAGATTTCAGTAAAATAGTGAACTTTTTCATTTCAAAATTCGACTTACTTTCAGAAACATGGTTGTGGATAAAACACAAGAATAATAAACAGAAAACGAACTCATTGTCCTTACTGTCATAACCCATATCTCGAAACGAAGAAATATGATGACGTGTCTGAAACATCATGTAAAATTATTGAATCAAAATCGAATAGCTTTTTGTCAGGAACAACTCATCCATGTCATTTTCGGTCATTTCGACTTGCCCACACTTGATACACTGATTCTACTGAATTCTACCGCCACAGATTCCTTAAAGGCACTAGGGATAGCTTCAGAGAGACAGATACTCTCTTGACCAGCACTGATAGTCAGGAAAAAATTAAAAAAGCAGGAACTGACAGTACATGAACGTACATACAGGACAATCTCGAAGGTATGCAAATTGGAAAAATAATAACATACAAGTTTGACCTGTACTTTATATAGTACTAAATATGTAAAGTCACATAGTACTGGAATTTGATTACCCATCAAATGGATCGATAATGCAGTAACGGGGAGAAAACATGAACAAGAAAAGTAATGATATAACCTCATGAAAACCAATTGATTTTGAGCGAACATGAAACGATGCAACTATTGTCTCAACTGAATTCCATTCAAAGAAATTTTAGTTGAGAAATGGTAATTGAAACTTCAGAGAAAAAATATTAAGAAATTCAAGATATGTGAAAAAGATTGAAGATTTCAGAATACAAATTGAAGGAAAAGATGGAATTGATCGAAGATATTTTGATTGGTCTCTAGTGAAAATTGTTTATGCTCATTCTGAAGCTCAGATGCCGTTACCATTAAAAATTTCATATTTATCTCACTGTTACCCTCTGATTTTTACGTGTGATTTGATTCCCTTCTTCACCGAAAGCGATGATATTGCATACATTCTTATTGAAAAAAAACCTTCGTATTCCATGTTTTTGGAATTTTGAAAAAACGTAACAAAGCAGCGTAAAAATGTTTTGAACAGGGGTACCAGATTTTGATTTAATATGAATACATTACATCTCTCTTATGAGAGGAGTGTGTTGATAAAGTTGCTTTCATAACGCCATGTGTCATATTTCAGAATACCGGAAATGTCTCAGATATAAAATGTAGTTTACGAACTTTTGTCATTTTCATGAGAGGAATACGTCCGTGAAATTTTGCCGTGTATTTCCAAAAGACTGTGTACATAATATAAAAAAAGATAACACAAATAACCTTGGTTTAAAAATATTATTTAACTCAGCAGGAAATTTTCATTGAATTTTCCAGTTGTTTTGATTGTTTGGTGTATGGCTGTTCTGCTTGTGTAGTCGAATCATATTCTAAAAGGGGCAAAATACTTGCCATTTATTCTTGTGGCTCGAAATTTCTCATAACTGGGATTTTCCGAAGTTTTTATGAAATCAATATGATTGGGAACGGAAACGGGTAGATTTTTTTTTTTCAACTGTGAATCTAAAGTATGGAACAAATTCCATTTTATGGCAATTGGAATGATTCTGGGACTATAATTTTTTTTTTCACAAATATTTCCTCATCTACAAAGTTGTAAAAATGTTGTATCAAATTTGTTCAATGCTTTAAATTGACACTGTATAAGGTGAAGGTATCATAATGTGCATTCTCAATTGTTGTTCACATGTTTTCTCTAAATGTCGGAAAATGGCATTTTGTCGAGTACAGTGAACCGGAAATGAGTCTTGCTAGAAATCTTATTGTTTTTTCACGTTCGCTGACTAGTGACGAGTAACAGGGAAAGTAACATTCATTTTCAATACGTTTTCATTCGAAAATATATCGTGGACGATTGACAAAAATAGCATGTTTCATTTGGAGGTGAAGTTGTATCTGTGGCTCGTTTATTATTAACAAACATGACACGAAAAATGTCACTCCACCTCCAGCTGAAGCAACTATTTTTCAACTACCTGACAAATGATGAAAAAATAACATGGAACCATCGGAAGTAAGCAAGCAAGCACTGTTGAATCCATGGAAACGGTAATTAGGCTTACTGTTGAGTTGTAACGATCATTAAAGAATTGGCCTGCTTGAAAACCTCATAGTGAGTTCTTGTTTACTCAAAACTAATGTTTCTAAAGTTGAAATACTTTGTTTTATTAACTCTATTATGCATCTATGATAATCATATCTACAGTGTGTGAACCGTAACTTGTATCAAAGACGATTTAGTAATGCAAAATGCTATCAGGTTATACAAAAATTATGATTTGTTGATTTTTGTTCTCTGCATGTAGTAGGCAGTGTTTCTTACTTATTGAATCTTGGTGTGGAAGCAGTAAACAAATGCTAGAATCGATATTTGCACCAACAGATTATGCGTCACCTGAAGATTGGGGACCAGAATATCCAATACCTGGAACAATTAGACCAAATGTGCCGATACCAACATTGTATAGTGCAGACGGTAAGTTAGATACCTATATCTATCTTTCATTGACATGTTTATCATTCAACTCATTCACTGTACTATATCTACTAACCTAAGAAAAACAATGCGCAAGTAGGGTTAACACTGTCAAGTCAAATAAGCTACTTTCTATATTCATTGATGCATGTGTTATCCTCCCCTTGTAGATAAAATACTGATCTAGTTTTACATAACAATTTAAACGTATACACTATTCATTTGATGGAAAAAATCGAGATAAATACGAATGGTATTCAAAGAGACAAAATTGAAGGTATTAAAATAAAATTATACATGAAATTGTTGATTTAAATGAAAAATTCTAAAATACATTCATGAGGGATTAGATAGTACCTGAATCTTATGATGTAATAACATACAAAATGAATTTTTTATATTATCTAATTGTGGGATATTTTTTGATAAATTGTCAATCTTCAATATGAAGATCTATAATCACTGTCTCCCAGTTTTTTTAATGAAAAATCATTGTTAAAATATCTAACAAGAAACAACTACTTTCCTGTCGAATACCTTCGATTATTATAGCCTTATTATGGTTAGTGTATATAATCAAGGCAAATAACGCAGAATATTGAATTATATCTATTTTTAAGTATCCAAAAAAAACCTTAGATATCGAATTCTGAAAAACATTATTTTCTACACATTTATTGGAATTGAAATGATAAAAATTGTTTAATGGAAAAATATTCGACTAAACTCAAAAGAATCATATCCGTGATGCAGAAAGTCTCTCATCAGAAGTTTGAAATGATGTTTCGTCGACCAACAAACTTAGAGGATCTGTGCATTAGATATGCCTTCGTGGTTAAAGATTTTCATTTAACATATTTTCATCAATTTAATTCCAATTGATATTAGGAAATGATGAATAGACAACTAATGTTCATCAAATGTTATAGATAATAACGTTTCTCAGAATTCAATATCAGGTTTTTTTCGATACCTTAACAGATATAATTTAATAGAATTCGCTGGTATTCGCCAGGAAAGTAGTTTTCTGCTAGATATCTCAACAATATTTTTTTCTTATTTTTCACACAAAAAATCTACTGTTGCAATAATTATTGAGAACGAATTTTTTTGCAAAATAGTATCTCTACAGGAAAGGAATCTTTTAGTTGAATAATATCATGTCATATATATAAAATGAAATCAACTCAGGTTGGTATTGAAAATATAATATCAAGTTGAAAATTACACAGAACTGTTATAAGGTAGGTGATACCTACATATTTCCGGGACATTACTATTTAATATCTCAACTTCCGTGTTACTTAGCCTCATATTAGATTTAATGGCATGGAAAGTATCATACTTTTCAGCTTTTGATTTACTTCGTAATTCCTTCTCCCTTCAAAATATAACAAAACTCGGGAAGCTATTTTACGGCGATTTCATTATTTTGAAAAATCCCAATGTTTGGATTATGGTTTGTTTTTTCCAGGACAACGAATGAAGCCAAAGTTCAGTATAGTGGAATTAGTACTGTATAATATAGCTGCCATGTTAGCGGGCGTTGCCTCTGGATATGACGTTAGGTTATCTAATGTTTCGCCTTTACACCCAAGACTGCAACCAAATAGGTAAATATCACACTCATATAACGAACGTTTCGTTTCGCAACAAATCATTGGTGAGACCCGACATATACGTCTACACCCCCCTTGTTTGTTATTATAATTCGTGTGATTCGGGTAGGACAAAAAGCTGCCAAATATTTATGTCAATGACTACCATAAGTAGATATAACGTCGGAATTGTATAAATATTTTTTTCTGCAACCGACACAAAAGTCGTCCATTTTGATACCAAAATTAGCTCTTAATTTGACGTTTCTATTACTGACACAAAAATAGGTATGTTGCTAGGCAACATATTTAGTTCCTAGGAGCTAAAGTTGAATTTCAGTTCCTAGGAGCTAAAGTTCGACTTTAGCTCCTAGGAACTAAAAAGGATGTACTGGACGTCATCAAGAATAAACAACATTGTGACGGTTGGTTATTTGGGTTGAGACGCATACCTGATTTGTTTTCGATTTCAGCAGATTTTGCATTTCATACTCATGCTGGAGATATAAATACACCTTATTATAGTTCAGTGTTGGAATTATAAACATCTCAGCTAAGTATTTTTGTTTGATCAGGCAAGCCTTCAAGATTCAAATACTTGCTTGATCTGTATTTCATTCGTTATTCTCGGGATGGATAACTTGTTTTTGAAAAATCACGGCAAGCAATAGTTTTTTGTCTCAAACAACGATATTGTTTAGCTCCATTTGATTATCAAGTCAAACGCAGTGTAGTATGGAGAGGAATAAATAATCACAATTATCATTGTTGATATGCTCACTAACCTAACATTTTCCACTTCTTGTTCCTATACCTGGCATTGGCGCGGTATTTGCCATTAGAGCACCTGGTTCATACACAAATATGTCACTATGTGGTTGTATTTATGTTGAAACTACAATTCGAACATCCTTGAATATTGAATAAACCTGCTGTTTATGCAGGTAGAATATTCTCACCACACGGATTATTTGCTGCATTGCATACATATGGCACGGCATTGTTGGTTATTTCACATATTTATTTGAGTTAATTGTTTCGGTTGCAGAAAAAAGAGCATGTTTCATTCGGATCAAAAGTGACTTTGTTCGACTCGCAAATTTTGCTTTCGCTCGGCTTCGCTAAACGCTCCGCCTCGCAAATGCAAAATTCGCTTGTCAAACAAAGTGTCACTTTTGATCCTAATAAAACAATCTACTATTAAATTCCGCCTCAATGTAGTGAATTTGAAATATACTGATAATCTGATTGATCATATTTAATGACTTATTTTGTGAGTATTTCTCTTTCATCACTATATCATGACAAATAGGTGAAAACAGGGAATGTCCTTGGGACAAATGTTAGAGATTATGTGATTTTAAGGATTGAAACATCACAGCTGAATTGTTTTTCATGTAATGAAAGTCATTCCATTTCAAGAACACCTTATTTATTGAACAACAAAAATAATATTCAAATTGAACATAGGAGTGGAAGTTCTGTCAAAAATAGCAGTAATATGTTCTGTCGTATGTACCTATAACAAGGAACATATCTCAAGAAAAAGAGTTTTTTTTTGTTTCGTTTCTCACCTAAGAATTTTGAGGAATTTTCCGATCGATGTACTTGGTGGTAGTTTTCTTAGGTGTAGCATCACGTCTCGGATTTGTACCCTTCATTCTTGAACCAATTTCATCCTGTTTGTTGGAGGAACCTGCACGATTAAAATCTAGCCTTGAACGTTGGAGAGCTGACGCTTGTAATATACATCATTGGTAGAGATATGTTTTTTTGCTATGGTTTCAGATGCTTTATCTTATTGTTGAGCTCTCTTGTGAGCAGCTCTTTTTCGATCATTAAAAGTTTGCGCCTTTCGCAAGTGAAGCTCTCTTTCAATATTCAGCTCTCATTACCATATTATCGCTCGCAAGGCCTTTCTCAGCAGCAGTAATTTTCACCGAGAACTGGTCGCACTGACTGCAAGTATCGGATCAAGGATATCCAAATCCTATCTTAATTTATTTTTTGAATTCCAACCTGGAAAAAGAGTTTTTTTTTGTTTCGTTTCTCACCTAAGAATTTTGAGGAATTTTCCGATCGCTGTACTTGGTGGTAGTTTTCTTAGGTGTAGCTTCACGTCTCGGATTTGTACCCTTCATTCTTGAACCAATTTCATCCTGTTTGTTGGAGGAACCTGCACGATTAACATCTAGCCATGAACGTTGGAGAGTTGACGCTTGTGATATACATCATTGGTAGATATATTTGGTATTTGCTATGGCTTCAGATGCTTTATCTTATTGTTGAGCTCTCTTGCGAGCAGCTCTTTTTCGATCGTTAAAAGTTTGCGCCTTTCGCAATATTCAGCTTACTCATTACCATATTATCGCTCGCAAGGCCTTTCTCAGCAGCATTCATTTTCAACGAGAACTGGTCGCACTGGCTGCAAGTATCGGATCAAGGATATCCAAATCCTATCTTAAATATTCCTAACAGCCAAAATCTAATGTTTGACACCCTGTAGCTCGAAAACTGGTCATAGGATCGATCTGTAAATTGGACTGTGTGATAAGGACGATAATGTCTTAAACATATCAAATTTTCAGAAAATTTAGCCGAAAGCCATTTTACGTACTAAATGTGCGGGGTCCTTTGAGCAACCCACTGAATCTCTGGAGAAAATTTACTCACAGTCCTCCATATTCAATTACATTTTGCTGTGCCCTCAAATACAGTTGAAATCGCAAATACAAATTAATAAGTTTCAGATGCTTTATCTTATTGTTGAGATCTCTTGCGAGCAGCTCTTTTTCGATCATTAAAAGTTTGCGCCTTTCGCAAGTGAAGCTCTCTTTCAATATTCAGCTCTCATTACCATATTATCGCTCGCAAGGCCTTTCTCAGCAGCAGTAATTTTCACCGAGAACTGGTCGCACTGACTGCAAGTATCGGATCAAGGATATCCAAATCCTATCTTAATTTATTTTTTGAATTCCAACCTGGAAAAAGAGTTTTTTTTTGTTTCGTTTCTCACCTAAGAATTTTGAGGAATTTTCCGATCGCTGTACTTGGTGGTAGTTTTCTTAGGTGTAGCTTCACGTCTCGGATTTGTACCCTTCATTCTTGAACCAATTTCATCCTGTTTGTTGGAGGAACCTGCACGATTAACATCTAGCCATGAACGTTGGAGAGTTGACGCTTGTAATATACATCATTGGTAGATATATTTGGTATTTGCTATGGCTTCAGATGCTTTATCTTATTGTTGAGCTCTCTTGCGAGCAGCTCTTTTTCGATCGTTAAAAGTTTGCGCCTTTCGCAATATTCAGCTTACTCATTACCATATTATCGCTCGCAAGGCCTTTCTCAGCAGCATTCATTTTCAACGAGAACTGGTCGCACTGGCTGCAAGTATCGGATCAAGGATATCCAAATCCTATCTTAAATTCTTTCTTAAATTCCATCCTATAGGATTGATAACATACTTTTTGATTTGGGTGGAGATCTTTGAACATTCTGTACATCTTTCTAATGTTAAGATCTTCTGGCAAATATGAAGCAATGTGCGATGTAATACATTCTAAAGTGTCGCTGCTCATTTTTTTATAATTTTTTCCTCCGCGCTCATCTGTTGGAGCAGCACCAAACTTTTTCGAATACCTCTGTAGGTACTCAACTTTGCTTTCAAAAATCCCATAAACTGCCTCAAAAAATGTTTCGCATACTTTCACTTTTTTCATAATGTTTACTGTTTTAATTCTCACCTGATATTTGTAGCTACTGTCATGAAACTCTGCTAAATTTTCTGGTGCCCTTGGCCTTCGCCTTTGTATGGTGACTAGTGATATAGCGACTAGCACAGATAAGAATTTCGGGTATTGTGTGAATCCAGTGAATTAAAATAATTGAGAATAGTTTGTCTGTCACTCGGATTAACTTTCTCCATACACTTGAGCCTTCTGCACTCGCAAAACGTTCCGAATTCATGTGCAAAATAAGTAGTTCTGACATTCCCTGTTTTCTCCGTACATTGCATTTTAAAGCAATGTTGGAGAACATGACGCTCCACGTTTTCTCGTGATTTGGGTTGAATGGCATCACTAACTGGTTTTGAACAAAAAAAGGTCTCCCTGTTTTCTCCTGATACCCTTCATATATGTCCACCAATTATCCAAAAGATAATTGACCTTGAATCTCAGATCCTTACTCTGAACTTATGCTGATTATTGTATGAAATTGTATCTTATATCTAACTGCAGATGTAGATACTAGATAATTGTTGAAGATATCAAAATTCATAATCAGGTCGTCAAAGTTAATTATGAATTCCTGAATATCATTGATTTACTGTCGCAGTTAGGTAATTCACATCAATTCACTTTCAGTAACTCAAAACAAGTTTTCGTAAATCTCATGAACAACCAATAAAACAACGAGACCCCCACAATAATCTTAAACATAAATTTGAGAAACCCACTGAATCTCTGGAAAAATTTTACTCACAGTCCTCCATATTTGTTTACATTTTGCTGCGCCCTCAAATACATTTGAAATCGCAAATACAAATTAAAAAGTTTTTAGCCGGCAGAATGTATGAAAAATGTTAGGTACTAAACATGTTTTTGCCTGTTTATGTAATATGAATGAATGGTGCCCAAAAGCTATGCAATAGGTCTCCAATATTTATAATATTTCTTGTTGATAGACTTTATCACCATCTGACCAAATACAAAAAATGGCCCTCAGATACACGGTGTTTACAAACGTGGAGCATTTTTTTCAATGACGATGAATACAGTTCCAAACTCAACACAATGTGAATACATTTTGTTAAAGTTAAAATTGGAAAAAATCCTTTCCTGTAAATGGATACCTACGCAATATTGGTGTTAGGTTAGATTGTGAGTATAATGTGTATAGGTGTCAAGTTTGAAGCTGCTTATACACAACATCGAAAATGCTCATCATCAGCACAATTTGTTTATACAAGGTGCCCCTGAAAGGTCTGTACCAAATGATACCATAGACTCGAG